GATGCATCAATTGGTCCCAACCACCTGGAGTAAAGGAGAATGAAGAGCACCAAAGACACAAGGAAAGTATTAGCCCAAGAGACAGAAAGGGCCACATAAAGCAGAGACTTCATCAGCCTGAGACCAGAAGAACTAGATAGCGCCCGGCTACCACCAATGACTGCCCTGACAGGGAACAAAACAGAGAGTCTCTGATGGAGCAGGAGAAAGGCAGGGTGTAGAACTCAAATCCTAGGAAAAAGACCAGACTTAATGGTCTGACTGAGACTGGAGGAGCCCTGGGAAGCATGGTCCCTGGATTCTCTATCATCCCAGAAATAAAACAATTTCTGAGGCCAACTCTTCAGACAGGGATTGGACTGGACTGTGGGACATAAAGTGATACTCCTGAGGAGTGTGTCTCTTAACTCAAGTAGATACAAGAGACTAAATGGGCGGCTTTTGTCCGGAGGAGAGATGAGAAGGCTGAGACGGTCAGGAGCTGGAGGAAATCAGGGGTGAAAGGAGGAGTGTGCTGTCACAGTATAGGGAGAGCAATTAAGGTCACATAACAATGTATGTTTAAATTTTTGTACGGGAGACTAACCTGAAATGTAAACTTTATTTAAACTACAACAATAAAAAAAATTTTTTAAAAAAGTGATGGCTTATGACACACCCTACACTGATATAGCTTCATCAACATAACAAAGAAAACCCTATTCCCAGATTGGAATATATATATATATATAAAGGTAGGATTTACAACGAATTTTTTTTTATCAGGTTTTAGAAAAATTTTTTTATTGTGCTTCAGGTGAAAGTTTACAGCTCAAGTTAATTTCTCATTCAAAAATTTATACACATATTGTTTTGTGACATTGGTTGCAATCCCCATAATGTGATAGCACACTCATCTTTTCCACCCCTGGTTCCCTGTGTCCATTCATCCAGTTCCTGTCCCTTCCTGCTTTCTCATCCTGCTTTTGAACAGGAGCTGCCTATTTGGTCTTGTATATTTGATTGAACTAAGAAGAACGTTCCTCATGTGTAGTATTTTTTGTTTTATAGGCATGTGTGGTATTTTTTGTTTTATAGACCTGTCTAACCTTTGTCTGAAAAGTGGGCTTCAGGAAAATGGTTTCAGTTATTGGTTAACAAAACATCCAGTCTCTGTCAGACCATTAAGTCTGGTCTTATTTTATTTGAGTTTGAATTCCATTCTCCATTTTTCTCCTGCTCTGTCCAGGATTCTCTGTTATGTTCCTTGTCAGGGTGGTCACTGGTGGAAGCTGGGCACCATCTAGTTCTTCTGGTCTCAGGCTGATGTAGTCTCTGGTTCATTTGGTCCTTTAGTCCTTTGGGCTAGTATTTTCCTCGTATCTTTGGTTTTCTTCATTCTCATTTGCTTCGAGTGGAATGGGACCAATAGATGTATCTTAGATGGCCACTCGCAAGCTTTTAAGACCCCAGACACTACTCACAAAAGTGAGATGTAGAATATTTTCTTTATAAACCATGTTATGCCAATTGACCTAGGTGCCCCCAGAAACTATGGTCCCCATACAACAAATATTTTTGAAGGACACAATTCAATCCATAATAGTGCCTGTGGCCCTTGAGGGCTTCCTGAGTCCTTATTGACTATAAAAAGTAGTATAATAGGAATAGTCATCTAGGAAGAGGCATATCTTTAAATTATATCTAACTATATGTATATATATGATCTGCCCACAGATATTTACCATCAGAGATTATAAATCTAGCATTTGATCTTTTAAATTCATTGCTGTGAATACATGACCAGGAATGGTAGACGTCAGAGAAGATTCAGTTTAGATGCATGTTGACTCAGTTCAAAATGGGGACCATGCTTTTTTATCATAGTTAGATTCATTTAAATTAAGGATAATAGATCCAAATGGAATACTTCTATGACCATGTGACTTCTGAATATCAACCCTTAAATAATCACGAGTTTACAATGAGATTTTCATCTTCAAAGTACTCAATGCATGCAATCAGCAAGGTTCCCCATCAGGTCCAGTCACTGGTTAGTTACTAAAGACAAAGGGCAACAGGCAGGCT